CGTATAGTTTTCCCTAGTTCACCTGTGACTAAAGGCTCTGGTGCACTCTTGGGCTTCTAGGAATAATGATTGACTTCAACAGAAGGGATTGAAAAACCTTTTTCCAGGGCTCATTTTCTCAACATCATAAAAATCGCACGATGTTGACAGCTTGGCCTTTTGTATCATCTTGTTCTGAGAACTGGGTACTTGCATCGATGATAAAAACACAGTTTCCTCTTCTACTCTTATTCTGGGTTCTTCAGTAGACTGAAGCATCCAAGATCCTATCTTGGTAACCCAGTCTCCAAAAGCAGAACTTACGTGTTATGTATCGAGGGCTCTACTCTTACGGCACCAGCTCAGGATTCTAATAAAACACTTGGTCCCAGCATGTGGGAAAGTCTGAATAGCATCTAGTCTGAAATCCCTTTAGCCACTATCTATGCAATGTTGCCACGTTTCTCTAAGACAAAGTCTCCCAGTTTGGGGATCCAATTTAGCTCCAGTGGTATGTGCAGTGACTGTACTATTGCAGGGGGCAAGTCCAGTTTTTGGTGATAGCCTTTCCCACAGTATTCCTGCACTGATGTTAGCCAGACTCTTGTATGATCAATTGCAAATGTTGCCCATGGATTTAAACGCTGTTCAAAATGTCCTCAAGGTCAGGTACTTCATCCTTCTTCTAGTGATGTAAACTGCCTCTCTTGACTTCTGTTAATGTTAGTGTATGCGTGCGCATGTGCACCTACATGCCAGAGCTGCCTCTATGTTTTGCCCTGGGCATAATGGAAAGCTGTTTTCAGATTATCCTTAGTGAATGAAGCTATCATAATATGACTTTGTAAAGTGAAGAATCCTACAATGGTTTTGCATTGTGCTACTTAGCCAGTTTGCTGGTAGGCCAGTAAACTGATGTATACATCAGTAGAAATCTCCCAACACAGTAGCTACACGTGTTGCATATACAATCGGATTCTCCCTGTTGAAACATGCATATACTTTTAAGTCAAATTTAATTCTTCAGACTATTAAGAAGTCTCAGAGTTTAGCACAATGTTTTGCCAACCGAAGGAAAAAAAAGAACTGCTCATTTACTCTGGTAGTGTTCAGGCTGGTGGCTGATGAATAGGAAGCTTGGTAAACGTAAGCTATGACTCACTCTTTCAAGATTCCAGCTCATGTCTCTTATTCCTTCCTCATTTTGAAAAAAGAAGCAAAAGTAAGTAAACACAATGAGAAGCAGCCAGAGAGGATTTAGGATGCTGGCTTAATTTTAGTAAGCGAGTCATACTCCTTCGTTCTTATTTATTTATGAGTTGAAACCATTAAGGCAGCTCAATTAGTAGAAAACACTTCAGAGATAATGAATATTGCTCATCTGAATAAAAAAATTGTTTTGAGGAAGTTTCCTAGGATTCAGAGCTTCAGAGGGCATTCAGAGTTCCCAACAGAAATGAGAGCCACATCCCAAATGTTCTCTTTCCCTGAGCAAGCAACATTCTTAGAATGGGAATTTGGTTCATCAGAGCTTGGAATGCCCAAAGCAGAAGAGTCAAGTCAAAACAATTTCAACTGCTGACATAGGTTACAAATGAATTGCGTTAGATTGTGTGTTGTGTCAGTGTTTCATTGGAACTGCCACAAGTGTGCTGTTTACAAAATTGAATGCCAAGTCCAAACTGACCAAATGCAATCTATATCAAGTAGCTTCATAAGGAGTTAAATATGAAAAGAGCAATTACCAATTTTTACTTTTTATGCTTTAACACTGCTTATTTCTCCTGCTTTCTTCTATCTTGTATATATACTGAATATGTATATACCTGCATACATACATATACACACCCATATATATAGGTGTATTTATGTCTGATATAACATTTACATAACTATTAAACATTTTTCCAAATTCTTGACAGCTCCTTAGGTATACTGCAATGATGATACATAATTTACTTATTCATTTCTTGAGTGTAGGATTTGCTTCATTTTCTCCTGTGGCCAAAGAGCTTGGAACGAATGACTTTATTCTTTAGTAACTGAGAATGTTCGGTAGATTTTTTTAAAAAAGATATATTTTATTTTTATTAGAAAGTCAGATATACAGAGAGGAGGAAAAACAGACAGGAAGATCTTCCATCCAATGAGTCACTCTTCAAGCGGCTGTAACAGTCAGAGCTGCACCTATCCTGAAACCAGGAGCCAGGAGCCTCTTCCGGGCCTCCCACACAGGTGCAGGGTCCCAAGGCTTTGGACCATCCTTGACTGTTTTCCCAGGCCACAAGCAGGAAGCTGGATGGGAAGCGGGGCCACTGGGATTAGATCCAGCACCCATATGGGATCCGTACATGAAGGCAAGGACTTTAGCCACTAGGATACCGCACCAGGCCCCTGTTAGGTAGTTATGTTCTGGTTCTGCTTCAGTAAAATATGTTTATAGTGTAACTAGTATCCGTTTTTTTCATTTACCTTGCTCTTCTATGTGTATTTTGATCAAAATGATGGCAGTACTAAAATATGGTTGTATTTTCTACTATGAATGTAAGAATAAGCAGGAAAATATTACATACTATCACATACCTTGTACACCCATCTGTAGTTTAGATTTCCTTTAAAATTCCAATGTTACAGAAGAATGGGAACATATCTTAGTAAGAAATCAGTTCTGGAATTCACACATATAAGCCTGCTATAGGAAGGACACTATTTTACTTCCTCCTACTAGCAACATAGCGTGTACAAGCAGCTGAACAAAAGAATGTTTGAGGCCACAAAAGCTACAATAGTTTACAAGCATAGTGCTTTATTAGAGAACAAGTAGAGCTGATACCTTGAAAACTATTCTGAACTGCTCTGTTTGCAATTTATTATAAGTAAGCTAATTTTAATAAAGTTGGGCTGCTCATTCTTTTTGAAATTCAAACAAAAATCTCACTTTAAAGTTCTTTTCAAGTCTGAAGTCCTTTGAAAATATTAAAGTTAGGAAACAACATGTATGTTAGTGAATAAAGTTGTTTTCAATACTATTTTTTTAAATGTCAAGGCTTTCTTTTCCTGCATCTAACATGCTTTTGAGTTCCGGTATGTCATTTCTTTTTTGCCTCTCTCCCCACCTCTATCCACTGCCATAGATAGGACAAACTTCTGAGTAGTTACTGATCAAACTCTTATTAGCTCATGTCCTTACACTTGCAACCAGATATGGACATGCAGACTTATTTATCATTAGACAAGTACACAATTGATATTTACACATCATCAAATTTTAGGAAAATTATGAAAATGCAATATCATGTAGAACTTCAAAGAATTTCCATTTTCTCACCTTGCTGGGGGCCTGCACTGCCAAGTTGCTGGCTTCCTTCTCTCATTCAGAATATCCTGCTCAGACAGTGGATGAGCTGGGCTCATGGCCTCTTTCGTACCTACTCACGGTCTGATCTCAATCCATCTGCCACTGACATTTTTGAAGTATAAACCTGACCATGTTACTCACTTGAAATTGTATGATTCCAAGTAGACAAATGAATAAAGAGAAACTGTTTCGGTTAGCATGCAAGGCCTTTCATTATTTAGTTCTGTTTCATTAATGACCTATGCCAAAGGAACTGCGCAGTTTCCTGAAGTTCAATGAAATACTCTGTCGGCTTTCATCTGTTATTGCATGTAGCTTTTGCTCCAACCTGACGTTCCTTTTTGCTTTTTCTACTATTACTCAACCTTTGAGGTATAGCTAAACATTGTTATTCTATGTATTTATGGAGATTTTTGCTAGTTCTCTACTTGCATTTATTGCCCAGTTTAGTGTAATTTAGTTATTTTAAGAGTCTCTAAGTTGAGCTCTTATTGCCTAGAAATAAGCTTGTTCATTTTGGTATATGTTGAAACCTCATATATGCTGGCAGTTAGAACAATGTGTGTTACTGCAACAAAGGTTTCTGGAGTGAAGAAATGAGAGAATGAATACGTCTCAGTACCAGTTTACAGATGAGTCTCTTCGCATGTAGCAAGTACTACTTTGCATGAAGATCCACTTGAGTGTGGAGACAGCATTTGCCCAAAAGCAAACACACGGTATCTTAAAATAGATCTTATATTTAAGCTGCATAACGAAATGAGTGAAGTAACTGGTAAAGATGCAAATAAGTGAAATGTTCACACCAGTGTTCCTTCTCTCCAGGAATCCTGACTGCTTCTAAAAGCAGAACCGGCCCCAGCTGTGGGCAGCAGCCTACATGGCCTTGTAGCTAAGAGAGTGTTACACTGCTGGGGGCCTGGCTGATGCCAAATTTAACTGCATCAGTGTGCCAGCATAGTTAACTATTCTTTCTTTCTTTCTCGAGTCATGGGGGTGGGGGGCAGGGAACCCCAGGCTGGGACACATCATCCTGGCCCCCAGGCGTGGGGGACTGCAGCTTGCCTAGAGGGGAGAGTCTGGGGAGGTATAGGAGTCATGACAGCTGAGGGCATGTTAGACAGGGCAAGAACGAACTAAATTACTCTAAAGACTGAATTTAGATTCATAAATTGTAGTCCTATCAAGTCAGAAATCTAGCAGTTATCAAGTGTTTATTACATGCCAGATATTCTTTTAATTATTTTATATGCGTTTAAATTCTATGACATTTGTAAGCCCATGGTATTATCTCTTTCTTGGTACTCAGGATGTGAGACAGAGAGAGGCAGAGTGTCCCAGGTCACATGGAAAGTAAGTTGTAGTGTCAGGATTTGAACTCATGCCTTTCTGACTCCAGAGCCTCCTGCACACTCATGCATTATACTCTCAGCACAGTAGTGGGTGAAGGGCAACTCTAAGGAGTATTTTTTTTCTGAGACTGAATCTGGCACAATCATTGTTGATAATCTGTTTCTATTCCTACAGTATAGAATTTATAATAAAACCTACCTATATTAAATTTATTAATATAATGTAGATTGGAAAATAACTGTATTTAAATATTAAAAACATATCAAAACTATCACAAAATTAATAATGCTTTCTAAAATGTCTTTTTCAGCAATCTTGACACAGAAGAACTATGTGGTAAGTCTGTTTATGACCAAACTCTTTGCTTGTTTTCCAAGGCAGTATAATTTGATACTCACATATATATACTTATTCTGGCTTTGTTATCACATTAGGAATCCTGGAGTAAAGTAAAAAAATCATGATTTCAAGATATCTTTACCCATCAAGTTTGCTCATGTACATATTTCACTGCAGAAAGAGATGGACCTCATTAATGTATTCAGAGAAGGAAAATTATTACTCCAAATAGTACATCAGTTTTATCAGAACAAACTTTCCCCCAGTTTGAGCCTATCCTTAAATTGGTGTTTAAGACAACCTCATTATTCTCTTCATAATACACTGCGCAGAACCTTTTGTTACTGTTTTGCAAAGCTGTCTCTTTGAACTATAAAAATCACTTTGTCCCACACCTACCTAAATCTTTCTGGAATTATAAATGTCACTTGCAAAATATGTGATTCAAAGATGAGGGATGAAGCTTTACAAATGCCTGGTCTAGTGATTGCTTCATTTACTTTCTTCATCTTTGTGATTGAGGACAAAAGTCACAGATTAAGAATGTCATGGGTAATTGTATCTGAAATTTATTCTTCATAATGAAAACATATGGATCATTACATATGTATACTTTAACAAGTCCTATTTCTCTCGGTCCTGGAACACTTTAAGTTTTCTGTTCTAAAGTAAACATGTGATAACGTTGTCCCGTTTGGATCTCTCTCAAGGCTGGGGAAGCACACCTGCACTTGCACATGAACATCTCCAGATTTGTTGCACAAGCCACTGAACTCACTGAATGTCCTATAATTTTTAGTTTTAGAAATTTTTTAGGGCCTGGAGTCATAGCCTAGCGGCTAAAATCCTCACCTTGAACGCGCCAAGATCCCATATGGGCGCTGGTTCTAATCCTGGCAGCTCCACTTCCCATCCAGCTCCCTGCATGTGGCCCTGGGAAGAGGATGGCCCAAAGCCTTGGGACCCTGCACCCACGTGGAGACCCACAGGAGGTTCCTGGTTCCCGGCGTTGGATCGGTGCAGTACTGGCCACTGCACTCACTTGGGGAGTGAATCATTGGACGGAGGTTCTTCCTCTCTGTCTCTCCTCCTTTCTGTTTATCTGACTTTGTAATAAAAATAAATAAATCTTTAAAAAAATTTAAAAAACATTTATTTTTATTGGAAAGTCAGATATACAGAAAGGAGGAGAGACAGAAATATCTTCTGTCCATTGATTCACTCCCCAAGCGGCTGCAATGGCTGCAGCACAGCTAGTCCAAAGCCAGGAGCCAGAAATTTCTTCTGGGTCTCCCATATGGGTGCAGGGTCCCAAAGCTTTCAGCCATCCTTGACTGCTTTCCCAGGCCACAAGCAGGGAATTGGATGGGAAGCGGGGCCACTGGGATTACAACCAGCACCCATATGGAACCCTAGACACTTAGGGACAAGAAAAAGATTTTCATGACCAATGGAAAATAAAGAAGCTCATGGTTGGTGACAGTCATGGTAGTTTTGTCCATAGCCATTGTCCTGATATCCTGCATTCTGGCATTTTGTTCTGGGCATTTTGATTAGATGGCACATAATCACTAGTTAGTATTGTCAGATGGCCGTTGTTGATGGCTTTGTTAAATTCTAGAACTAGGGCCCGGAGCAGTACCCTAGTGGGTAAAGTTCTTGCCTCACAAGCTCTAGGATTCATGGGGCAGAGTCAGACTGGAAAGCGAGATATGTCTAAAGGGAAGCACTTGGTGCTTTTGTTCATAGATGAAGCACCGGCAGAGAAAAATGGGGAAAATCTGGCCAGCTAGTAACACACCCCTAGGTGGTGGCACCACTCATGTGTGGCTATTCCAGGGCTGAGTGGCCAGGAGGGCCCATACGCATCCGTGCCACCAGGCTTCCTGCTGAACAGTAGTCTCCATGATGATGAGACTTTGCAGCTCTCTACTGAAACAAACAGAATAAATATTCTTGAATAATTGTATATAGTGGACATGTAATCCATCTGCCAAGGCTTTTCCACTGTGCACACCCAGCAGGCGATAGGCATGGCAAGGTTACACTTCACGACGCTGCACACCCTCACGCCCATGTAGGCTGTCCTTGCCAGTAGATGTAGACAGAGAAGGTGCAGGGCTGGGGTGGTTTTTATGATAATTTCGTGAAGGTGGGAGATCCATTTGAAGTATAAGATGTTGAGGTAAGGCAAGCCAATTAGTCATTCTCTCAGCTCATTTAGATAATTCTCTTGTCCATTTTTGCCTTACCTGGAATGGGTAATCTGATGAGAAAACAGAGCTTTGGAAGTAAGAATATTCAATGGCTCTCTTTAATTTGCTATATTGCCTCTCTGTTGTCACCAGGAATTGAAACATTTTAAATTTTTAAAAAGAGTGAATCTTTATTTAATCCCCTGTAATTTTAATGTTTGTCTTTTCTTCCAAAATAAGGGAACTAGATAAGGAGTTTACCATATATTCCCCCATATTTTAGTTAAATGAACTAGTGGCATTACCTGTTTGTTAAGTCCAATAACGGTAGTCCCAATCACGGTCTAATTTTCTTCCTCCCTCTTCAACAATCCATATTTTAATTTCCATGGTAGGGTTTCATTTCTCATTGTTTTGTGAACATTAAGTAAATATTTAAGTTGGATTCTAATCAAAACCAAGTGCTTCAGTGCTGGCAAGAGAAATGCCACCTCACGCCCTGCGCTGGCTCCCTCTGTGCGGGAGGAGTGGGGCGTGATTGGCACAGAAGGTGGAGTTCACGTGGTTTCTCCTGCAAGCTGATGAAACATTGCAGATGTCTAAAACTTTCTGCTGCTTTCATTTGATCTTAGAGGTTACTCACAGAACAGGGAAAGCATGATATTTATTTTTGGGGATTAGCTTATTTCACTAAGTATAATGATTTTCAGTAGTATCCACGGAGTTATAAAACCTAAGATTTCCTCCTTTTTTTGCTAAGTGATATTCCACAGAGTGAGTACCCCATCTTTTGTGCACTGGCATCAGCTGGTGGGCACCGGGATCACTCCACACCTTAGCCATTATGTGAATTATGCTGATATAAAGATACAAGTAGAGATAACTCTCTCACATGCTGATTTCATTTCATTTTGATAAATCCCTAAGAATGGGATGACTGGGTCATATGGTAGATCTTTCCAATCGCTGAGGACTCCCCCTGGTGGTTTCAATTGTGGTTGCACTGCTTTATGTTCCCACCAACAGACGGTTAGAGTAGGTTTCCCCCACATCTTTGCCAGCGTGTATTGGTTTTTGATTTTTAGCTGATTGCGATTCTAATGGGGTGAGGTGAAACCTCACTGCGATTTTTATGAGCTACTGCACTGAGCATTTTTTCCTATGTCTGTCGGCCATTTGGATTTCATTCTTTGAGAAATGCCTGTTCATGTCCTTCACTGCTTGATTTTAATCAAGCAATTGTGTCTGAACTCCAGCACTGAATTTTGTATTTTTGTATGTGTTCCATCTTTAGCTCTGATCTAAAGCAATCATGAGCATAATTATTGCTTTCTTCTTAAGACTACTTTCATAACCTTTCCATTTTTCCTGAACCCTTTTGCACTTGGTAGCTAAGAATTGTGATATTTATAGATGGATGAAGAGCAATTGCAACTAAAGTTCATGCAGCGAGAGTGATCAGAAAGCAAATTTGTAAGGAAGCTTTGGAAGGGTGAATACATCGAATAGTGCAATATTAGCTCTTCCTCATGTTGCCCACTAAATATTCAGCTATTTTAAAAGTTAGATGAGGTCTACAAATAAGATAATAAAAACTGACAGTGCAGGAAACTGTACATAATAAAAGCTTACTAGCTTTCTGTGCTTGGTTATTTTAGTAGTTGCATCAGCCTGCATTGCCACAGCACATGCAGTGCAAAGAAACCTGTCTTTTTCAGAATGTCAGAGCCCTGGCTACCCAACTAGCACATGTTAGCCGTGATTTAGTTGTAAAACAACTTGGGTAGGGGCCCAGTGCGATGACTCAATGGCTAAATCCTCATCTTGCAAGCCCAGGATCCCTTAAAGGTGCCGATTTGTGTCCCACCTGTTCTGCTTCCCATCCAGCTTCCTGCTTATTGGCCCGGGAGAACATTTGAGGTTAGCCCAAAGCCTTGGGACCCTGCACCCTCTGAAGAAGCTCCTGGCTTCGAATTGGTTCAGCTGTGGCTGTTTAGGCTGCTTGGAGAGTGAACCAGCAGACAAAGGGTCTTTCTGTCTTTCCCTCTGTCTCTCTGTCTCTCCCTCTTTTCATAAACTTTAAAAAAACACACTTGGGTAATACTGATCTACTATACCTCATTAAATAATCCATGTTTCTACAATTCTAATACTCCTATTCAGAACATGAGGTCTTTAGATGCATATATCTCTTTTCTGCTACCTCCCTGTTTTTGTTTTCCTGGTCTGTTTTAGAAGGTCTCACAAGATCAATATAGACAAAATAACCTCAATTCAAGAGAATACTGTGAGCCCAGTTCCCAGTGTGACCCTTGTGGCAGCTATGGGATTCAGTAATTTGGAGAATTGAAATACAGACTAGAAACTACGAGGGGTGGACATGTGGCACACCTCTGAAGTCACTGCCGAGCATGCTCGCGCCCTATAGTGGAGCACCTGTTTGAATACCAGCTGGTCTTCTTCTAATCCGGCTTGCTGGCAGTGCACACTCTGCTAAGCAGCAGGCCTTGGCTGAAGGACTGGTGTCACTGCCGTTCATGTGGGAAGCCTGTATCTAGCTTCCAGCTTCTGACTTCGCCCTGAAGCAGCTCTGGCATTGTTGGCCACCAATGGATGAGTCAGTCGTCAGTCTCTTTGAATTCAGATATAATCAAACTTTAAAAACAAAAGGTGAAATTAAAAAAAAAAACTTGCAATTTTTTGGATACAAATCCACTGATAGAATGCCTTGGTGGAAGGAGAACCCATCCTCTCGTGAGTGTGTTATTGGAGAAGGCGTGCCAGAGGAGATCCTCGGAGCACCATTTGTTTCCTGGGCTTGCTTCATACATCATTGTTTTTGTAAATTGTGCTCTTTTCTTTCGTTACTCATATTCTCAATGCCCAGACTCTACTTTTCAAAGATTCTTCACATAAACTGATGGTGATTGGTTCTCACATGGTCCATAAGTGCAGGACTGCCCTGTTTCACTCAAAGCCATAGAGTCTATATTTGGTTCTCAAGAAAACTGAGTATCCCCCCCCCCGCCAGGAAATTATTTTAAGAACCAAAGGAAAAGATTTTTACAAATCTTAATTTTTCTGAAACTTGTTTTCCCCACCTCAGTGCTGTGCTTTCAGCACAAAACATTTGCCCAGTCCACACTGGCATTGTGATTCAAATGAGGAACGGAGGACAATAACCAGAGTAAAACATTATTCCATGTTCATGCCCAAAGCCATCACTGACCACCCCTGCGCGGCTGCCATATTTTGGGATATGAGGGTGGACTGCCAGAATTCTAAGCTTGTGATCAGCTCCCACACCTCAGCTTTGATAGAGCCATGGTTTGTATACTGTGATGAAATCACTCCTGCAAGTTGATTGGTATCCTTGGCCCTTTCTGACAGTGTCACCAACATTCCTCAAATAGTTGACAGTACATATGTGTATGCCTTGCAGATTGGAAGATTAGAAGTGATACCATGCTTTTCGAAACATTTCCAGGGTTTCCCATTGTCCACAGTAATGTCAAATTAAATCTACATGATAATCTCCTTGGAAACCTTTAAAAAACTATTCCTGGCATTCAATCCCCAAAATGGATTTAGAAGATAACGTCATATGGATACTCTTCATTTCTAACAGATATTCTAGCACATAGCATTGTGGAATAGTGAGTTAGGCTGCCATCTATGACATCAGTACCCTGTAAGGGCATCAGTCCAATTCCAGCCATTCCACTTCCAACCCAACTCCCTCTTAATGTGCCTGGGAAAGCATCAGTAGATGGACCAACGGCTGCTGTACTTTAATGTGGGAGATCTAAAAGAAACTCTAGGTCTGGCCATTTTAGCCATTTGTGGAATGAACCAACAGATTTCTCCCTTTCAAATAAATAAGTAAACCTTTGTAAGCAAGCAAACGAAAGTCTTTAAATATGCAACAACTGACCTGAGGACTTATTAAGATGCACTTGTGATTCAGCAAGCTTGGATTAAATATTACAGGCTAACAAGTTCCCAAGTGGAATGCATGGTTCTAGCCTGAAAACTAGATCCTAGAGAATTCTGATGCTGATGGTGAAAAACACTGACCTAACCTTGAGATCAAAGTTACTGCACCTAGCAAAGAATGTTTGAGCACATCCAGCTTCCTCTCTCATCCCTGATCTTTAGTGTCCTGCTTCCTTACTACCCAACGTCCTTAATATCGTTTCATTCTGTCCTTTATGTTGGATTAGGGTTAAACTACACACTCCTGCAAGCATAATGAGGTAGTACTTGCTACATAGACTTTTCTCTGATTATCCAATGGTTAAGTCCTTCTCATCCTTTAATGGCATTGTTGTTATGTCCCCCCATTAGGCTCTGTCTGACTTATCTCAAGCAGGCTTGAGCATTCTCCGTTCTGTAATTGGATTGCATGTTGTCCTTGAGCTCTTGAGCCCTCGCTTCGAACAGTGATCATACTTGTTTGTTGGGATGTTACTCTACCTTCGCTGATTGTTGGCTCTGTAAAAACAAGTTGTCTGTCTGTTCACCGTTGTATCATCACCTTCTGCCGCAGCACCTGGCACATTAAAGGCAATAAGCACAGTCCGTCATGAACTGAGTAAATGAACACTTCGCAATATGAAGTGGAGGGAAATTATTCTTTCTATATTAAATGTCTCTGGTTCTTTCATTTAGCTTCACTTGGAATTTATTGGAGCCTCATTAGCCTTGACTTGTTGAGAGGTAAAAAGCTTGAGTGAAGTGGAGCTGAAATAATTTAAAATAGCTCCATTTTCTACCCAAAGTTTGTAGATTATCAGAGTTCTCTCTGTTATCAGTTCTTTTTCTTTGCTTGAGAGGTAATTTTCTTTTTTCTTAGTAATTTGTAGAGTTGATACGAATAGATGGACGGAGGATGGAGAAAGAATGACTCCGGATAGGTGTCAGCTCTGAGGCTTCTGGTCATTGGTTTGCTCGTGGGTTTTATCATCGTGTGTCTATGTGTGTATTCATTGATGAGATTTCAAGATGAAAGTCAACTTCTCTCCTGGAATCTATACTGATACACTTTTTAAAAGGTGACCCACTGCATTTAATAAACCTGGTATGCTAATGTTCCACATTCTCCTGTTTTTGCTTCATGCATTTCTGCCTAAATGTATTTTTATTCTTAACATTTCACTGAGATATAGTGTTATGCCAAGACATGCATTAAATGGACTGATAAATGAACATTTTTGTCATGTTCATATTCATAGTCAAATCTAGATCCCGGACAGAGCATTAATAGGCCCCGAAGAATCTTCATTGCTTTCCCTCCATTTCTTTTTTTAGCACTTGAAATGAGTGTATTATCATTTAAAGGTATGATTCAGTAGAGCCATATTTACATACCAAATAGTGTGGCATTCACACAGCTTATATCTGCTGTATATTACCTACAACAAGTAAGAGAAAAAGAAGATATATTTTCCTTTGGGTCTGGTTTTCCACAAACTTAGGATTTTCTTCTTTTTAATAGCTGAGTGATATTCTACCATGTCTGTAGATCACATTTATAACCCAGTCGCCAACAGACAGGCATCTGAATGGCTTCCATATCTTAGCTGTTGTGAATTGAGCTGCCGTAAACATGCAGGTTAACTTTCATATGCTGATTTCATTTCCTTTGGATACCTTTGTGGGATAGCTGGGTGTCAGTAGGTAGACCTTGTTTTGGTTTTCTGAGGAAATTTCATTCTGCCTTTAGCAGCAATTGTATCTGTTTATATTTCCACCCATGGTGTGTTATGGTACCTGTGTACTCTTACTAGAATTTGTAATTTTAAAATTATTTTTAGAATATATACATTCTGGCTGGGATGGCAGTATGCATTTTTTTATGTTTGTTGGTATTTATGTTTCCTAATTTGAAAAATGCCTGTTCCTGTTCTTTGTCACCTATTACAATCTCTTTGAGGCTTGGTGTGTATTATAATTTTCTAAAACCCTAAAGCTTCCAGTACTTTACACTTTATCCTTTTTTCACCTTTGTATGGACTTGACTTAATGTTCTTCCAACTCTGAAAATCCTACAGCGATGCTGTCAGTTTCTAAAGAGTGTTGTCCACGGATACTTAGTGCAGTTCAAATAATTACATAAAGTTAAACATCTTTATCAACGTTATTAAAATGTCAGCATCATCATCATCATAATTAAAATGTTAGTTTGAGTTAGGCATGTAAAGACTGTGTGCTTTCTCACTTAATTCCAGCTAATGCCTTCTTAATAGAATATTTATAAGAGATGCTTTGCATCATTGTCTTCAAGCATTCCATATTTTAGAATACATTGTGCTTTTTTGGGCAGAAATGTGTCATTTAAAATATTTTTTGTTTTCTTTGACATATAGTAATTATACATATTTATGGGGAATGGTTTGACATTTTAGCACATGTATGCAATGTGTGATGATCAGATCAGAGTAATTGGTGCATCAATCACCTCAGATATTTTCTATGTGGTAGGAAAATCCAAAATCCTGTGTACTAGCCATTATCAACAGTCACCACCCTACATAGCTGTAGAACATTGGAAATTTTTCGCCTTTCTAATTGCATTCTTGTGTCTATTAACCATTTTCTCTAATACTCTAAGACCCTCTCAGGGCTTAGGTTCTGCTATTTTATTTAACCTGTACATCCATATACTCTATTTTGATAGCTATGTTCTAGAATTTATTTGTTGTTTGTGTTGTCTTTCTTCTTAGAAGCCTACACATTGACCAAATATATCAGTGGTACCTTTTGTTTGCTCTCGCTATCAACATCAATAATCGCACACGGAGTGTTAATTTAATCACAGAAGCTTTCATCAAAAATGTTGGAATTGATTCTAGGATTCCTAGTAGCTTACATGAACTATATTTACATGTCAGTTTAATTTCACAAATACAAAGGCTACATTACAGAGGCACAGTAATAGCCTGCTGCTCATCCAGAGATAAAGTTCCCAGGGGTGATGAGGACCACTGGTTTTCTACTACCTTCAGGCTCCTGTTATTTTCAGCCTATGAATGTACTAAGCCAGATAGCTCTCATTTTAGAAATATTAAGATTTCTAAATCTAAGTGTAAGTCATGTCATAATAACTTAGATGTTAGTCATGACTTCCTAACTCAATCTCTGTTCCAGTCTTAGAAATATGAGCAATATATGCAATACAGAAGTTATCCCTAACATTTGAAAAATGTGGTAAGCACGCCCTTTGCCCAGTCCAGTTTGTTGGAAAATGAAAATGGATCCCAATGGAAACAGCCACAGGAAGGACCCACAGGAGGCTTTGCTTGCGTTCTGCAGCGTTATTGATTCTTAACTTTGAAGACCGCTTACATTCCTGAAGTGTTTCCCAGAAAAAGCAGTAAAATGTAACTTGATGTCTTTCTACTTCTGTCAGAGTAATGGGTATAAGAATACGCTGTGGGGAATTATTTTTAATGGAAAGAACCATTTCAGCAGATCTAGATTCATTTCCCACTGTTTTTGTAGGAAAGAAAATCATGCAGAAATAATGATAACCATGCAGCTTTCTCTTTTTTAATGAAATAACCCGTGTGCACATTTAGTCCCATTTAAAAACTCTTTTGTAGTCTCCTTTTGTAACTGACAGTTTATTTGTTTTACTCATGGACTGCATCATCTAAGCTTTCTTCTTTTACCATTATCTACACTGAGACACTAATATATTTCCGTATTTTCACTTTCAGAGTATTTTTCTCAGCATTTGGGCGAGTATGAGAATGTACTAGCAGCACTTGAAGATCTCAATCTTTCCATCCTGAAGGCAATGGGAAAAACAAAGAAAGTAAGGAAAAGCTGATGTTTATTTGGTATTCAAAAAGTACGTTCCTTGAATTCTTTGTTGAAAATTTTGCTTTACTTCTTAATTATTAAAGTATAGATTACTTTTGTCACTGATTATTTATTTTGTTGATATTAAGTGGGCTGCTGCTTTTTTCATTCATAATGCAATTACACATGCTTAGAATGTGCCAGCCACTGCATTTTAGGCTGAGGATACAAAGAATTGGCTCAGGAGTTCTTCGTCTGATGGGGACACAAGAGTGTAAATGAGTAATGACAATGCAGTATCTTGTAGAGAAGCTCAGGATTAAAACCCAGTTCGGTCTGGAGTGGATGACACCCGATTTCATAGAGATAATGAAAATACTTATGGCTAGAAAAAATCTTCAACGGTTCTGTGCCAGGAGGGTCACAGGCATTTAAAGGCATGAAAGTTGATAATAAACCAAGTACAGAAAATCAAAGAGTGGAATGATGTGAGTGAAATATCTGTAATCCTGTATTTACAGCAGCACAGTCTGCAATAGTAAAGGCATGGCAACAACCCAGTTGCCTGTCCAAGGAGGAATGGTTAAAGAGACTGTGATACATCTACTCCATGGAATATTACCCAGCCATTAAAAAGAATGAAATTATATCATTTGCAGTTAGATGGCCCCAACTAGAGACAATTATGCTCTCTATGAAATAAGTGAAATAAGTCAATCCCAAAAAGACAAATACCATATGTTCTCTCTAATATAAGGAAACCATCATGCAAATTGGAATGTATAGTGATGGAGTAATGGAGACTACCATATCCAGATGTGAAGACACAATGCAACATGCATCCCTACTTCCAAATAAAAGATGGACTCCCAATGAAAGTGTTGGACATATCTAGACAATGGGATGCTGGACTGTCTGACATTGTCTACACCAGCAATGCTGGGGCACACTTGAATGGTAGACTGATGGAACTGCCACTCCTTATGAGGGAACGTACTGTTGTGACAATATGGGGAAAATCAGTTAGTTGGAGGCTGGGAACTGGGGGTAGTGAAAAGAGCTTGTATCCCAAGAGAAAGTAAGTCAGCCAATATTTGAAGCAGAGATATGAAAACATGTGCTCTTTTTGAAAACACCACACAGGAATTAATTTGGAATAGGGTAGAAATGACAGAGGCATCAGGAAGACAGGTGGAGAGATCAGTCCATTACTGTGATTGAATGTAATTTGCCTCCCAAGGTCCATGTGCCGAGTTTGGACCATCACAGTGATACTGAGAGACAGTGAAACTGCAGAGCTATAATCTTTTTTGTAGTTTTGTAATTGGGTCATAAGGCACCATCTTGGGACAGAATTAATATAGTTCTTTTTTAATTTAAATTTTCAAATTATATTCTCTTTACCAAATAGATGTCATTTAAACAATGTGTTATAAACATTTAGTATTTTGCTACAGTTTGGGGAATACAAAATGTCTCTGGAGAAGCAGATTTACATATGACTACTAAAGTATAAAATTAGTTTCCATTCTACTACCAAAACATATAGACCTACAGGCATAGAAACTTCTATGAGGGCAAAATAATAGATTTTGTTTTATGTGTATGTTTTAAAATGTGTTTCTTTCTTTATATAAAGTAAATAAATTTCACATATTTCACAATAGAGATTTAAGCACAGTGTGATCCTTATTACTCTACTGCCCCTTTTGCCCGCATTTCCATCAACCCTCCTCCTCCACTATTTTTCCCCAGTTTATACAATGGCATATTTTTATTTCACGTGGAAATCAAAGGCATAACACTCCACTAGGTAAAGATATCAACCCATAGACAGTCGGAAGAAAAACACACTCTTCCCTAGGACTGCTGAAAAAAGCTATCAAAATTATCCCAGGATGTTAGGTTCACTCATATAAATTACATTTTTTGCCCTGCATATTAGTTATCACAGATTAGATAAAGCATATGACATTTGTCTCTTGGGGACTGGCTTATTTCACTAAGCATAGTGGTTGCAATTATATTCAGTTAGTTTTCAAAGACAAGATTTCATTCCTTTTTTATTTTTTGGCTATTCAGTATTCCAAGCTATGTGTGTGTCTATGTATATATTTCTTTATTCAATCACCATTTGATGGGCATCTGGATTGATACCATATATTAGCTATTGTGAATTGAGCACTGTATACATGAGGGTACAGATGACTCATACACTAATTTCACTTCATTTGAATAAATACACAGGGCGGGATGCCTGGATCATATGGTGGACCTTTTATCAGCTATCTGAGGAATCTCCATACCGCCTTCCATTAAGGTTGTGCAAGTTCACAGTCCTTCCAACAATGGATGAAGTACCTTCTCCCTCCCTATCATTGTCAGCATTTTAGTTTTAAAATTATTTTTGAATGATAACCATTCTAAGTAGTGTGAGATGAAGCCTCATTCTGTTTTTTCGTTTGCATTTTCCTGGTGGCAAGTGAGCCTGGCTATGTGTCTACTGGCCATTTGTATTTCATCTTTGAAAAATGGTTCAAGTCCTTTGCCCATTTCTTAACTGGATTGTTTGTTTTGTTGCTGTTGAGTTTCTTGAGTGCTTTTTAGATCCTTCATGTTAGTCAACTGAATACTTTGTAAATATGTTCTACCAGTGTGTTGACTGCCTCTTCGCCTTGTTGACAATCTCCTTTTCAGTGCAGAAGCTTCTTAGGTTGATGTAATCCCATTTTTTTTCATTAGTTGCTTGTGCTTCTGGGGTCTTTCCCAACAAGTCTTTATCTATACCATATTTTCAGTGTCCCTGATATTTTCTCTAGTACTTTGATGCTCCCAGGTTGTAGATTCAGAACTTTGATCAATCGATTACTGTGTAAGGCAGGGATCCTGCTTCACGCTTCTGATGACATTGATTCTATAAATTCACCAACATGACATAATTTCCCACGTTTTAGTGTCATTTTCAGTTTACTTCTTTAATGTTTTATAATGTTTGTCGCAGAGATTCTTCACATCCATGGGTTATATTTATTTTGAGATAGTAAACATTGTTTGCAGCTGTTTTGTGAAAGGGATTCATCTTAAATATTCTGTCTTGGCCTTGGCGTTGTCCGTTTGTACAAAGGCTATTGATTTGTATGTTTTGATCTTGTAGCCCATAATGTTATCAAGCTATAGGAGTACCAGTAATTTCTCAGTAGAGCCTTTTGGTTCCCCTGTATGCAGAATCATGTAATCTGAAAACAAAGATGAGTTGACTTCTTGCTTTTCAATTTGTATCTCTTTGATTTCTCTTTCTTGCCTAATACCTATACTTAAACTTCCAGGATTTCACTGAACAGCAGTCATAAGGGTAGCCACTGTTGTCTAGTTTTGAACCTTTGTAGAAATGCCTCCGACTTTCCCATTCAATATGATGTAGTCTAAGGGATTTATATACATTACCTTGATTGTTTTTAGGAATGTTCCTCCTATACCCAATATACTTAAGATTTTATCATGAAAATATATTGCCATAATCAAATGATTTCAGGGAACCTACTAAAATAATCATGTAGTTTTTTATTCTGCAGCTGGTTAATGAAAAATGTTACATTTATTGATTTCTTTATGTTGAAGCATTCCTATGCACCAGGGATAAATCCCACGTGCTGGTGGATAAATACAGTGATTGATGTATTCTCAAATTATGCATTCTCCTGAAGTTTCATGAGATATCCTGGAATGAGAATTTTTTTAAATGTTTATTTACTTGAAGGTTAGAGTTACAGAGTGTGTGAGAGTGGCAGAGAGATCTTCCACCTGCCAATTCACTTCCCAAATGTCTATGATGGCCAGGGCTGCACCAGGCCATAGCCACCGGCTTCTTCTGGCTCTCCCAGGAGTGTGCAATGGCCCAAGCTCTTGGACCATCCTTCGCTGCTCTAGGTGTATTGGCAGGGAGCTATATTGGAAGTGGAGCATCCAGAATTCAAACCAGCATGCATATGGAATTCCAGAACTGCAAGTGATATTTTATCTGCGATACCACATGCTGGTCCCAGAGAGACTTTTGAAACTGTGAACACTTACTAGACCAAAGGTGGAACTTGAAAAGCAAATGGACAGAAGGTAGCTGTCAGAAATCTTGAGTCATATAACTGCTTGGTCTGCAGCGGGAAAAGGAGAAAATCACCAGCTTAGCTCGTAGAAAGATGCAGGAGTTGGTGACACTACCTGGTGCTAAAATAAGGTGCTGTGTTGGAAGTTAGTGTTGAGAAACTATTAGATTACAAGATCATATGCAACAGTGTATCGTGTTGGCCTCTTTGCCAATCCAGGTGGAAAGCACAGATCTGTTTATGGAAAGGGAACAAATAAGGTCTATGGCAGCAGCAGCTTGCTAAGTTTACAGGATAAATGGCAAGCTTCCAGCAGTCTTCCAAGGTAGAATTCCCAGAGCATCAGCAAGTAATCTTCCAGCTGGACAGCAAGAGTCTTCCCTGAGAAATCTAACAGCATAGAAGAGAAAAGCTAAAGATTGGCCAGTAATTAGCTTGGGCCAGAGTTTCTCTCTCCTCTAGATTGTTAACCCGCTGATCAGGCTGTTCCTACCCTGTCCACCCTTAAATATGCAACAATCTAGAAGTGCTAACAGAAAAGCCAGAGGCCAAAACAAACCAAAAATTTTAAAATATATGTAAAGAAAAGGTAAGGGGACAAGAAAGGGAGAACTAAGGAGTATGGTGGGAGAAAGCAAAAGAGAGTTAACATATGGAATTGTTGAGCAATTTCAAAACCTCAAAAATATTACCCATCATATCTTTGGAGAAATAAGAGAAGGTATTGCTTCTATCAAGACAGAAAAAGATATCAAGCAGCAAATAACCAGGAATCAAGAGCAAGTTAGTGAAAGCTAAAACAAGAAAGTAGAATAAACTATATAGGATTTTAGAAAATAAAGTTTGGACAGTCTTCCCTGAAGCAAAATGAATCAGATAACATAAGAAAATCGGAACATCAACCCAGGTTATTTTGTATCCAAATGAAAAATTTCAAAAAGAAAAACAGAGGAAATTGAACACGGTGAGGTCAGAAATACATTTTTACTTGATCCCTTCAGGAAAGTTTGCAAACTGTATAGTCATTTATTTCCTTGGAAACCTCTCTCCATGTATGGGCATTTAAAAATTTCTGCTAGGGCTGACTGGCTGCTGCTTTTCATTTTTTTTTGACCCCAGTCTAAAAGCAGTTCAGTATGTCAAAAGATTTCCACTTGTTCTTGGCTGAAAATAATCTGAATGAGTATGAAATTGTCATCATGTGATGTCTGTCAGGAGACAGTGGGTTGTGTCATTTTCTTGCCTTGTATCCCCTAGGTCTGCCGTAGGAATTGGTAAATAAAATGTGTTAAAAATACCTTGATGGATTAACATTCACCCACTTCCAAACCTAAATACCAACTTGTTCCTTAAAAAAAAAAAATTGTTCCTAGGGCTGTTCATAAGATTTTGAGATTTTCTTTGAGATAAAGGAAGAATCCTTATTTCCTCACAAATGTGTACCAAAATCATGTTCTTTTCCTTGTTTGAATGTAATGAGGCTTTGTACAATTTAAATGGAGGTCAACCTGTTACTTTACTCTCCTAAGTAATAAAAATCTTCTTGTTGGAAATGACCAGTAATAAAATGCATTTGACGCATATTGTCAATCTATCTAATCAAGGATAACCCTGTATCGGACTTTTAAAAAGTAATAAGAAAGAAACAGTCAAAAACAAAATCCATGAGGCTCTTTGTGTGACAGTTCAAACGTAGGTGAAGTCCAGGAGTTTTGACAATTTTGAAGGCACTGGTGCACTGAACTCTGTTCCACCCTGTCTGGCATAATGAACCCTTCTGACTGAGAAATCCAGCATTTTTTTTTTGAGACCGTCTTTATATTTTTAACCAGATGAAAAATCTTGTCTCAGTAGGAGAACTGAGTGTTCTAGGCTTTTACGAAAAATGAAATACAAGCCATTTGTGCTCTGACTTGACTAGAAATACTTCTGTTTGTGGCATCAGAAAATGGATAAAATGGGTTCAACTTCTTAAGCTCCAGGAGGTGACTCAGGACAGATTTAGCATGTCATCATTATTTTTCCTTCATTCTTCTCTCCATCCTATTCCCACAGCTATAGACTTTTGACAGATCCTCAAGAACTACATGGATTTTTTTGTTTGCTTGTTTATGTTTCTAAAGCAAAACAGTACAGGTCTGAAAGTCCTCAAGGTAGCTAAACCAAAATCTTCAATATAACTTTGGATTATTATGCTAAAAACCTTAGGTTTGATGTTTAATTTTTGTTCTTTGAACAGGATATGAGATAAGGCCACTGGCATCATTAGGATGTGGTGTGTTCTCTGAGAGTTCTTAATCATGCATGATTTTATGTAAGGATAGGTACGGTTGCTCATTTATTGGTAAGGCTTAAATGAAGGTGGTCAAAAATGGTGTTCTTAAAATGATTAGTTAGGGCTTTACAATAACTCCAGCAAAAATTTTCAGAATTAAAATATGTATATTCATACTTAATCCTAAAATTTCTCTTTCAAACAAGCATATTCTACAGTATATCTTAAGAGAAAGAATAGAGTGAGTCCTCACATGGTTGGGTCTTTGTCTTCCTTGCTTCTTGCATCTGTGTTTGGGATGTATATTGTTTCTCACATCTGTAGATACCTTCTTCTCAACTTTCTGACTCTTACATCTCTATTTTTAATGTTTAGTTATCCTAGGGATTCGTATTGCTTTTGTTAGCTAAATATTTTCTTTTTTGTTTATGAATAGTGATAGATTTCAGAATTTCTTTTTTATTGTTTTATGACACTGTTTAATAAGCATTGGAGTCTTCCTTCCCTCTCCCCCAGTTCCCTCTTCTCCCCACTGTTCTCCCCTTCAGTCTTACAATGGGTGTCTTTTGTGAATTTTCACAAGTCCATCATGCTGCCACTGAGGTGTCTCCCAACAATGTAGCTTATTAGCCATATCACTGTGAGTCCATCCTTGTACTGCATGCATGAAAACATACTTCTCTGTTTCCACTTATGAACATATTAATTTCTGCTATACTTCCATTATGCATCCCCTTGAGTACAGTCCATCGTGAAGAGAGAAAAAAAAAAAAGAAAGAAAAAAAATTAGTGAATCTTCATCCACATGAGGTTGATGAACATATAACAAAGGTGTCAGTGTGATGCTAGGGTGGTGAAAAAGAGTGTCCAACATCTTCCTTCAGAATAAATGCCAGCTTTTGTCCCATGTGTCGCTAATGAAAGCACAATAAGGGCTGGATCACCATTGCTTATAGGCAGTAGCAATAACAGTGATAAAAGGGACATTGACAATCTCAGGTGATTTGCAAGTAATCAGTCTTTTATGGTTGATTGATTCATCGATTACATTACAAGATCT